CAATTTTTCTTATATATTCTAAATATTATTAAATATCATGCATTAAAGGTTCATTCAATTGCACTAATGAAGTAGAACCATGTGAAACATGAGTGTAATAAAAGAAAAGTAGAGGGGAGCATTAATCACTGAAATTAGGAAAAAAAAGAGTCTGATGGAATGAGCTCTTTATCTAAAGTACATAATAAGGTGTAATGACTAGTGGTTAGCCGATATAAAATTATGTTACCACTACAAATTTTATTTGAGAATTTTTTTTATACAAGTGTATGCCAGGAGAATTCAAGCATCAATATAATGTCATCAATATGATAGAAGGACGCGGGGGGGGCGCAACAATGACCATCTAAACCCCTAGATGAGCAAAATAGAATATATTAGTAAATCTAATTGGCTCAAATTAATTATCAAGATTTTAGCATAGTTCATTACCCACCTAAATGCATAGGAGAAGTTTTATTTGGTAATATGTGTCATTTTCTATCATGATAAATATATGATTATCTTGTAACTTTAGGTTTGACACATGTATTCATGGCACTATCATCATGTGAAGTCATCAAAGTTGATACATGCTTATTATATATATAGTGAGGTTATTCACTCCACTTATAGGACTTTATAGGCCAATGGAATGAAAATATTACATTGTCGTGTGATTAACTTTATATTTTTTCTCATCGATGTTATGATCTTGCTAACTAATAGAGATTTTAAATTCATAATAAACATTTTCCTATAGGAGATGCATGTCACGGAGACTCATTGGAAAATAGTAATGTATGAGTTTTGAATTCAAGTGATTGCTATGAGTCCTTTTGGAGAAATGATTTTTCTAACTCTCATGCTTGAGAGATCATTTTTCACTTTTTTTTGAGGACGTCAATTAAATGTGTTAAATGGTGGATTGGTTATTGAAGACTTAAGAAAATGTTAAAAAAATATTTCCACATACTGATGAAACATATACATGATTAGTGTAAATATTATTTCAAATTAAGTGCATATATGATTAATAAATTATAAGGATCAAAAAGGTAAAAATGACCAAATGATAAGAAAGTGATCTAGTAATTAAATGAAGGATGAACTCAAGAGGCTCACTAAAGCACTCTCATAACTATTATAATGATGTTATTTAATTGTAATATTATTTCTATAGCTATATATATATATATATATATATATATATATGAAAGCTTG